CTACGTGGGCTGGGGGGCACGTGGCTGCGGGAAACACCCTGTCCGGTGGGCATAGAGCGAGCCCAGGTTTGGCAGAGAACAGCTGGTGTTAAAGGGAGAATTTGTTTTTGACATCATTTGTTTTAATCTTAAATGGTAACTAGTCACACCTCATCTCTATTTACACCCCCTGGTTCACACCTCCAACCTCCCCTGGTGCACACCTCATCTCGATTTACACCCCCTGGTGCACACCCTTTACACCCCCACGGTGCACACCCAATCTCAATTTACACCCTCTGGTGCACACCCACACCCCATCTCACTTTACACCCCCTGGTTCATAACTCCAACCTCCCCTGGTGTACACCCACACCTCATCTCGATTTACACCCCCATGGTGCACACCCAATCTCAATTTACACCCCCAATCTCAATTTACACCCTCTGGTGCACACCCACACCCCATCTCACTTTACACCCCCTGGTTCATAACTCCAACCTCCCCTGGTGTACACCCACACCTCATCTCGATTTACACCCCCATGGTGCACACCCAATCTCAATTTACACCCCCAATCTCAATTTACACCCTCTGGTGCACACCCACACCCCATCTCACTTTACACCCCCTGGTTCATAACTCCAACCTCCCCTGGTGTACACCCACACCTCATCTCGATTTACACCCCCATGGTGCACACCCCATCTCAATTTACACCCCTGGTGCACACCCATACCCCATTTTACACCCCCTGGTGCACACCCTCACCCGATCTCAATTTACACCCCCTGGTTCACACCCATACCCCCAGTTTAATTTATACCCCCTGATGTGCACACACACCCACCCACAGTTTAATTTACACCTCGTTCACACCTCCAACCTCCCCTGGCTCATATTCACAGCGTATGGCAGTGCAAATAAGGACAAGAGAGTAGAAATCTTCCTGCCGAGGGACAAGGTGTTGGGTACAGTCAGCTCACCCCTGGCCAGTTCCCCCTCCCAGCAATGCCTCCCCCTCCATTTACACACACTCGTTTGGGGGCAGACACAGATTCTTTCAGAGCCAGGCTCAGATTTTTATAGTTTTTGTTCCACCATTTGCCACCCCCTTGATGCTGAGCAGCTGCATTTCCAGCCCACGGGCAATTTTTTCACAGCTGGGGTTGGAGGAAGTTTGGAAAGGGAGGGCTGGGCAGCTTCCTTGAGACACCCCATAGGGAGCAAGGGGCCGGGGGTTACCCTGCCCTGAAGGCCCCTCCCAGCCCAGTGACAGCCAGAGAGAGGGAACATAAAGGGATCCAGGGTGCCCAGGCTGCATGGAGCAGTTCACAGCTGGGGTTGGAGGAAGTTTGGAAAGGGAGGGCTGGGCAGCTTCCTTGAGACACCCCATAGGGAGCAAGGGGCCGGGGGTTACCCTGCCCTGAAGGCCCCTCCCAGCCCAGTGACAGCCAGAGAGAGGGAACATAAAGGGATCCAGGGTGCCCAGGCTGCATGGAGCAGATGCATCCCCCCCCCCCCCCCAAGCAAGTGCCGTGGGAGAGGCCAGGGGGGCCAGGCAAGCCTGGGGGAGAATTGTAGGAGAAAAGCCCAATATCCCACAAATCCCCAGCTTCAGTAGGCCTGGGGCTGGAGCAGCCAGGACTTCTCGCCAGGGCACTGGGAGGCCTTTCCCCTCCCCGTGCCAGGCTCAGCAATTCCTCATCTCTTGCAGGTGCTGGCGTGGCTGAGGGGCATTGGGGCCCCGGGCACCGTGGCCAGGAAGGCAAAGCCCAAGGCATCCGCTCTGGATCCGGGAGGGTGGGGGGCAGGGCAATAAACTGGCAGCATTTTACCGGGGCCAAGTGTACTTGATCTGTGAGCCCCGGCACCCCACATCCTCTCCCCTCGGGCGGCAGCCCTCCCCTGCAGCACTGCCCCTCCACCCACCGCTGGGCCCCCACATGCCCCTAGTAGATGGCAGGAGGCGAGGGACAGTGCTAGGCTGGCTGCACCATCTTACCCTGGGGTGAGGGAGAGACTCCAGGATCCCCTGGAGAGAGATGTGGGGCATACTGCAACCAGGGGAAAAGGGCAGAGCACACACAGCAGGTTGGGGGCGGGGGGAGATCTCCCAGCCCTTCTCCCCACACATCTAGAGAGAGGCATCTGCATGGGCCAGCTGCCCCATCCCCTCTCTGATCCCCGCCCCCCGGCCAGCTCACGCTGTGGCACAAGAACCAGCCAGCACATACCCTGGATACAAATCTACAAGCTTTTATTACAGCCCCTCCCCCTGCCAGCCAGCCGGACAGAGGCAGGGGGACCTCACCGCAGCACACACACCCCCAGTGCATGGGATGGAGAGCTCTGCAGGAGGTGGGAGGGGGTTCTCCCCCAGTCGGGGGGCAGCTCCCATCCAGCCCGGCTGCCCCCATCCTGTAAATCCAGCCCCTTGCCCCACACAACTCCTGGGCTAGGGCCGCTGTGCTTCTCCCCAGAGCCAGCCCCTCCCCCTGCGAGTGGGTGGGGGGCCCAGCCTGAGCTGGCAGCTGCTGGGGGGTGATGGCCATTGCAGGAAAGAGACCTGCCCCTGTAGTGTATGAGAGCCAGAAGCAAAAGGGTTAACAGACCCCCAGAAACAATCCCCCCCAGCAGCCCCAGAGCCAGCCCCTGCTGCCCACGCTCTGGGGTAAGGGGTCTTGCCCTCGAAACAGGCAGT